ACTTAGTCGCGTCGACCTCAGGGGCCGAGAAGGCAGAGGCCCAATGATCCCCAAAAGCGCGAGCACCTTCCTCATGAGACCCAGTTGGGGCGCCATCAGTAGTGACCACAGACCCCAAGACAGCACGTTTGTGAAATTTCTGTCACAACAGTTTACGACGACGAAGGCGGGCAGCTTGTGAACGATTCGTACCCTCGGGGGCCCCAGGGCGCTGAATCCCATTTTCCTCGTCATCGAGGATCTTGCGATACAAGCAAAATGCATATTGAGACAATCCATGAACATGAGAACAAGAAAGCTGGTCATCAAAATGAACACGAAGGCGCGGATAGCAACGCAAAGCTTGCTGCACCCTCTGCCGTTCACCTGCGAGCACAGCACGTAGAGCGAACAAGGCCCAGTAAGGCCGCTCCTGCTGGCTTACCGCGAGCCGGCAGCGAAGCGCGCCACGAGCAATCTTCCCAGCCTCGAAGCAGAAGGATTTCGCAGTAGAGAGCTGGGTCCAAACATCCCAGTCTTAAGGAATCTGCCTGACAAGGTCCTCCAGAGCCTCCACGAACTCAGGCATCTTTGCAACCCATGGGGGGACGCAAGGATACCCAGGGTCGGGCCGGAAACGCTCAACCACAGCACGAACAGGAACATGATCACTTGGCATCGAAAACCTCAAAGCCCCAATCGTAGAAGTCGAAATTGTCAGGTCCCAGACCACAAAAGGGCAGCGATGTGTAAATCCGATCGATCCTCGAAGTTTTGCCGACTGCGCGGCCCTTCCTCCCTCGGCGGGTGTTGAGACTCTGGTAAATCTCAGCGAGGTACGGGAAACAGCGATGAAAAACACGAGACTGTGGCGCATCGCCTGCGGCGAAGCCGCTTCCATCCCCTGCGAACCTCCCCTCCTCTTCCAAGACGAAACTCCAGGCACCCAGAAATGCAGCGTGAGCCTCGAATTCGGGGCCACCAGCGCGGTGGCGAGCGAAATCTCGTTGCACAATCTTCAAAACGCCCGAGAAGAGAGCAACAACATCGGAGGTATTCGGCATGTGCAGATTGTAGACAATCAAGTTACCCATGTGGCCACGAAGCATACTCTTGAGGACCCTCCCCGTGACCAGAGCCATATCTGGATGGTAATGAAGAGAGAGGCAAAGACGGCAGAGATGGCAGTGACGATCCCTCCTTCGCGCACCGAGTTCGAGTCATGTGTTTCTTCTGCTGGAGAGGGCGCCCAGAGAGCCTGGAGCCGCCATGGCGAGTCGGGGCACATGGAACAAACCCCACTGGCCCTGCACCCCGGTACATACATTCATGCTACATACAAACATACAAACAACACAATACAACACGCTACACTACGATCCATACCTACATACATACATACATACGTACATACATACATGCATACGTATATACATACATGCATACATGCACCCATACATACGACCGTACATACACACGCATGCATGCATTCATCTATACATACAGACAATTTCACATGCATACAGACATGCATGCACACGTACATACATACAAACATACATATATGCGTGCGCGCATCCATCCATCCATCCACTCATCCAGCCGTCCATACATACATACACACATACGTGCATATACACACATACACATATGCACACACATATCTATATATATACACACATATATCGTCAATCATACCCACACACATACATGCACACATTCGCGTACATGCATATACGCATGCATTCAGACGCACATATACAACACATGTGCATGCATGCATGCATATATACATGCATGCAAACATACATCCATACTTACATAAACATGTGTGTATGTGTAACCACATGCATACAACCATTTCCACCTACCTACCAACCTACCAACATACATAAATACACACGCATAAACAACTGTGTATATAATCACTTGCGCATATACCAAGACATCCGAGGCCCGGGCCGGGACACTCTCCTGGATTTCCTCCCCTCTGTTCGGCACAAGAGATCTGGATTCCTCCGGGGCCTCCCGCGCCTCTCCTCGGGGGCGGCTCGAAAGACAGCGCCGGGCTCTGGGGGTGCGTCGACGTCGGCGACGCAGTCGGCGCGGAGAAAACGGGGCTCCACATCAGGCCGCATCGCCGATGCATCGTCGATGCGGCGCGATCCACTGACCCCATCTACTCGGACCCCACCTGGAAGGCCTCGGCTCCAGGACCCCTGTCCTCCAGGAGGGGATGACGAACGGCGCGACCCAGCCAACGTCCAGGCTGTGCGCACTCGACCCGCCTGCAGCACGCGGGAGGCCACGGGCGGGCGCAGAACGGAGGCACACAGCAGCCGAGAAGTCGGAGCGGCGAGGGGCGCGGGACTCCCTCCGGGGCCTCCCGCGCCTTCCTCCCCGCGGGGCGGCTCGAGAGGCAGCGGGCTCCGGTGTGTGTGTGTGTGTGTGTGTGTGTTCGAACAGGCGGCCGAAGGGCAGCTCGAGCACTTCCAGGACAGCTCCGCGTTGCCTGACTACCGACCAGACCACCCCAACCCAACCCGAAGACCCGAATTTCGGGTTGGGGGGGGAGAGGGTTCCACATGTGTTTTCTCGATGTTCCCCGACCCCCCCCAACTGGAAATGGAGGGCAAATCGAGACCTTCGGGTTGGGTTGGGGTGGTTTGGTGGGTGGTGATTGCCGAGGCAGCTCTGCACGGAGGCCCGAAGAGCGCTCGCCGGAGCCCCCAGAAAGAGTTAAACAGCACTTCTTTCACCAAATCGCTGTTTGCATGATTGGCGGGGCCAAGAGGCCCTGGCAGGGAGAGGGAGGGGGGGGGGGCTGGACACCCCCCCTCACCCCTTGCGCCACCAAGGGGGAGGGGGTGCGGGTGTAAGAACGCTGCGCCCTGCCCAACCGTACCTGAAAGATGCTCTGCCCGTTCCCGGGACCCCGAATCGTGGCACATAACCGCTCTCGAGATGAGCAGCCAGCCCCGGGGGACGGCATCGGAGCCCCAGAGGCCCACGCCACGAGGAGGCGGCAGCGACCCGAGAAGCCACGCAGCCTCGGGAGGATGCCGCCGCGCTTGCCGCAGACGGCGACGGGGCGCGATGCTCTCGGGCGTGGGGGCGGGGGGGGGCCTCTTTGGGCCCTCGGACGCCTCGGGAGACCTGTGGGTGAGCAGGGAGCGACGGGCCCAACCTTCCGGTAGGCCTACCACGACATGTTCTTAGAGCCGGGCAGTGTCCCAAGAACAGAAGCCATGCGCTCAGAACTTAAGCCCGGTGTGTCCCAACAAGACAGCCCCAGCCCAAAGTGTTCTGAGCACATTTCGTGCAGACCACAAGGGACTCTGAGGACATTCTTTGGTAGGCCTGTAGTAGACGAGCGCGTTCCACTACTCGCAAGGTGACTACCGTCGGGGCGTTGACCTAAGGACCCCAAAATGAGGAACGAGGCCCCTTTTCTCCAGAAGTTAATCTTCGACTTCCCATCGAAAACCTAAGGAACACCTGAGGCAAACTGTGAAACAATCCAGGAACACCGATCCCCTCCCCGACGAAAAGGGTTCCTTCCTCAGCGCCCCGACTGTACTCGCAAATGGCCTGGATCCGCTGGGGGGGGATCTACAGTCGGGGCGCTGAAGAAGGAACCCTTTTCGTTGGGGAGGGGCTCGGTGTTCCTTAATTGTTGCACCGTTTGCTTTAGGTTGTGATTCAGTCTTCGATGAGAAATTGAAGTTTAACTTCTGGAAAAAAGGGGCCTCGTTCCTTGTTAACCGTTCCTTCGGTCAACGCCCCGACTGTACGAGAACTTGCAGATCGAATCAGACATGTGCTTTGCGGGCGTCTGCGAGCAGGCACTCTGCGAGTGGTGGAACGCGCTCGGCGCTGCAGGCGGGGGCTGGGACGCCTCGCCGCTGCTCGATGTGGAGCACTGCGTGCGCCACGCTGGCCCCGGGCGCCGCCCCCGGACGGCTCCACCGAGCCGCCTCGGGGGGAGCTCGACAGGCCCCGTGCGCCCAACGAGCCATCAGAATCGCCATCAGAATCGCCCCCATCAGAATCCGCCCGACAGGAAATTCTTGGATTCGCGCACGAGCCTTTCGGAGCTCTGCATGAATTTCTTGGATCCGCGCTGGACTCCCCTTCCCGGCGCGCAGAGCGCGCCAGGGGCGGCGCGGCGTAGGAGGCGCCATGGGGGCCCAGCTTTTCGATCCTTCTCAGTGCTCGCCTCTTTTGGGCTATCGCCGGTTTCGCCCCTCGGCCC